ACCCGAAGTCTTTATGGAAAGGGATTCCCCTTCCAAACAATTGTAAACTCCTCCATCTTCTCCCCTTCTCCGGTCTTCCATACATCACCATGTCTTCAATAAAGGTAACTGTGATGTTGTTATTATTCTATTCTTCATGTATCAATGTTTTCTGAGTAGGTAAATGTATATTTCATGTAGAAAACATTTTATTAATACTTTTGGGTGTTAAACAGATTAATTAGATTTCCAGAGGGCTGAGGAAGGGTTGTCAAGGTGGTTCAGACATGTAGAGAGAATGAAATGAAACAATGACTTCGACAGTGTATAAATCTGTAGTGGAGGAAGGTGGGGTAAGGGTCGGCCTAGGAAAGGTTGGAAGGAGGGGGTAAAGGAGGTTTTGTGTGCAAGGGGCTTTAACTTCCAGCAAGAATGCGCGAGTGTATTTGATAGGAGTGAATGGAGACAAATGGTTTTTAATACTTGACGTACTGTTAGAGTGTGAGCCCAAGTAACATTTATGAAGGGATTCAGGGAAACCAGCAGGCTGGCCTTGAGTCCTGGAGATGGGAAGTAGTGTCTGCACTCTGAAGGAGGGGTGTTAATATTGCAGTTTTATAAACTGGCAAGACAGTGATGGAGTGAATGATGAAGAAAGTTTTTCTTTTTCAGGCCACCCTGCCTTGGTGGGAATCGGCTGATGTGTTAATTAAAAAAAAATTCTTACGGAGAAAATTAATTAGGAATTCGTCAGATTCAGGTTTAGTCACTCTCTCTGGAATGGATTAATTATGAAAACCAGGGGTCCACTGTATTAATTAACATATCAGCCATTTCCCACCAAGGTAGGGTGGACTGAAAAAGAAAAACTTTCACCATCATTCACTCCATCACTGTCTTGCCATAAGTGTACTTACACTACAGTTATAAAATGGTAACATCAACACCCCTCCTCCAGAATGCAGGCACCGTACTTCCCATCTCCAGGACTCGAGTCCGGCCTGCCAGTTTCCCTGAATCCCTTTATAAACATTACCTTGCTCACACACTAACAGCACGTCGACTCCTAAAAATCATTTGTCTCCATTTGCTCCTATCTAACACACTCATGCATGCTTGCTGGAAATCCAAACCCCTTGCACACAAAACCTCCTTTACCCCCTCCCTCCAATCTTTCTTAGGCTGACCTCTACTCTGCCTTCCCATCACTACATATTTATACTCTCTATGTCATTCCATTTTGTTCCATCCTCTCTACATATTCAAATCACCTCAACAACCCCTCCTTAGCCCTCTGGATAATAGTTTTGGTAATCTCGCACCTCCTAATTTCCAAACTGTGAATTTTCTGCATTATATTCACACCACACATTGCCCTCAGACACTAACTCCACTGCCTCTAGTCTTCTCCTTGTTGCAATATTCACCACCCATGCTTCACACCCATACAAAAGAGTTGGTATAACTATACTCTCATACATTCCCCTCTTTGCTTACCTAGACAAAGTTCTGTCCCCACAGACTCCTCAGTGCACCACTCACCTTTTTCCCCTTGTCAATTCTATGATTCACCTCATGTTCCATAGACCCATCTGCTGACACATCCACTCCTAAATATCTAAATACATTCACCTCCTCCATACTCTCTCCCTCCAACCTGATATCCAATCTTTCATCACCTAATTTTTTTATCCTCATCACCTTAGTCTTTCCCATATTCACTTTTAATTTTCTTCTTGTACATTATATATTTTTTATTAACACATCGGCCATTTCCCACCAAGGCAGGGTGGCCCGAAAAAAACTCTCATCATCATTCACCCCATCACTGTCTTGCCAGAGACATGCTTACACTACAGTTATAAAACTGCAACATTAACACCCCTCCTTCAGAGTGCTGGTACTGTACTCCCCATCTCCAGGAATCAAGTCCAACCCTACCAAACTAATCCACCAACCTCTGCAACTCCTCTTCAGAATCTCCCAAAAGCACATTATCATCAGCAAAGAGCAACTGACAATTCCCACCTTGTGTTAGATTCTTTATCTTTTAACCCCAAACCTCTTGCCAACACCTGAGCATTCACTTCTCTGACAACCCCATCTATAAATCTATTGAACAATCATGGTGAGATCACGCATCCTTGTCTAAGGCCTACTTTTACTGGGAAATAATCTCCCTCTCTCCTACATGCTCTAACCTGAGCCTCAATATCCTTGTAAAAACTTTTCACTGCTTTCAATAACCTTCCTCCTATTCCATACATTTGCAACATCTGCCACATTGCCCCCCCTATCCACCTTGTTATACACCATTTCCAAATCCATAAATGGCACAAAAACCTCTTCACCTAAGGGTGAAGAGGGTCACCTATATGTTTCACTGTAAACACTTGGGTCTACACACCCTCTACCCTTCCCAAAGCCTCATTGTTCATCTTCAATCCTACTCTCCATCTTACTCTTAATTCTTTCAATAATAACTCTCCTATACACTTAACCAGGTACAGTGGACCCTCCATTTTCGTTGGGCTCTGTTTTCACTCATTTCCGTTATCGCCGATTTTTTCCATAAAATTACTGGCTTCGTTTTCGTTGCTTTCATCCGTTCTCGTCAGTGGTACAGTATATGTCCAAGTGTGCCGTGCACACAAGCTTCCACACACGTATTCTGAGGAGGCAATGTTGCTTTGTTTATGGGCGAGTGAACATTATCCAGTGAGGCCATTGAAAACATTTCATAATCATTCATTGCTTTTTGCACTTGTTTATTCTGTGTGACTGCTAAATAAGCCACCAAGGGCTCAAAGAAAGTTACTAGTGCCAGCCTGTTGATAAAGAAGGTGAGAAACACGATAGAATTCAAGAAAAAACTCGTGGCAAAGTACCAAAGTGGAGGAGGAAGAGAGAGGGGAGAATGTGCCTTCTTCAGTGATTCAACAATACGTACGATACTAAAGGAGCAGGAGTCAATAAAGGGTATAGTGCCAGCCAGCGATAAAGTGTAGCATTAACAGTGTAGCAAGTAAGTTAAGCGATTAAGCAATAGAAAAAGGATGACACGAAACTGACTACTCCAATGTTATTGGAGGTATATAGGGCCACTGACAAACACACACTGCCCTGTCTATATTCCACCACCCTAAACCAATGCCAGCATCTCCAAGGTACAGTAAGTGTAAATATTTCTTATTTATAAATTACGTACATTGTTTGTGTGAATAGTGCTGGTGGCTTCTGCTGCCGCCTACACTACACTAATATGTAAGGCTTCTCTCAGCAGCCCTTATAAACCCAACACCACCCCCACTACTTACTCCTCACATACGTAATGACACATTTTATTCATTCTAGAGTACATATCATGTTTCTATGTTATTAACATTGTTTATTATGTCATATCAGATGAAATGTGATAGATAAATAAGCCGTGGAATATAGTTCTTTCCCCTAAAATGTATTTTTTGTTTATACTTTCAGATGTCTGAAACGGATTAATTGGATTTACATTATTTCTTATGGGGAAATTGGCTTCAGTTTTAGTCAATTTCACATTTCGTTGGACTCTATGGAAAGAATTAAAGACGAAAAGGGAGGGTCCACTGTATACTCAACAGACTTATTCCCTTATGTAATTTCTGCATTCTCTTTTGTCCCCTTTGCCTTTATACAAAGGAACTATGCATGCTCTCTGCCAATCCCTAGGTACCTTACATTTATTATATAAAAGCACCAACCACTCCAAAACTATAACCCCAACTGTTTTAACATTTCTATCTTTATCCTATCAATCCTGGGTGTTTTACTCCCTTTCATTCTACCCACTGCCTCAGGAACAAATAACCAGCACACAGGAGAAACTAATGATGATATTTCTGTTGGACTTGAACCATTAACTAGTAAGAGTTCGTCAGACAGAGCCATTGTCACAAGTTTCAGTCTCCTATGTTCAGGTTATTTGAGTACTGTTCCAGCCACTGTATTGGGCCTTTTTATTCTCTCTTTTTTTTCAACGTCAGCCATCTCCCACCTAGGCAGGGTGACCCAAAAGGAAAAAATCCCCCAAACAAAAATACTTTCATCATTCAACACTTTCACCTCACTCATACATAATCACTGTTTTTGCAGAGGTGCCCAGTTACAACAGTTTAGAAGCATATATAAAGATACAGTATAAAAAGTGACCTGAAATAATAAACTCCATACAGAATATAATATCAGGGCCCCAATTATATATATACCATCCTATTACACATCCCTCCGAACTGCCAATATCTCAAACCCTTCCTCTAAAGTGCAGGCATTGTACTTCCCATTTCCAGGACTCAAGTCCGGCTATGTAAAATAACCAGTTTCCCTGAATCCCTTCACTAAATATTACCCTGCTCACACTCCAACAGCTCATCAGGTCCCAAATACCATTCATCTCCATTCACTCCTATCTAACATGCTCGCGCATGCTTGCTGGAAGTCCAAGCCCCTTGCCCACAAACCTCCTTTACCCCCTCCCTCTAACCTTTTCGAGGATGACCCCTACCCTGCCTTCCTTCCCCTACAGATTTATATGCTCTACATACCATTCTACTTTGATCCATTCTCTCTAAATGACCAAACCACCTCAACAACCCCTCTTCAGCCCTCTGACTAATACTTTTATTAACTCCACACCTTCTCCTAATTTCCACACTTAGAATTCTCTGCTATTATGATAAAAATAATCATTACAAAATATACCAAAGTAAGTGTAAATGCAGCTTAAAACCTATATGTAATAAATACTGGGAACCTATTCTCCAACACCTCTGAAAAACTCACTGCTATGAACAAAAAAAATTTTACCACCAGATAATGACTGGAATTTTATATATGGTACCCAGATAAATTACAGGACTGAAGAATATCCAATGTCACAAAGTCTTAGCAGTCATAGTAAAAATTTTTGTCTATCACTTGACCATAAGTAAGTAGATTTATAGTGAATGATCAATGGATAAAGGTAAGGTCAAACTTACAACACTTACCTTGACACAATGAGCACGGTTGTCAGAGATGAAGATCTCTTGCTTATCGTTTACCACCACTCCATTAGGAAACTCCAGATGATTGGGACAGTTAAACTGATGAAGAACTGTCCCAAACTGATCAAAGATAATGACCCTCATTACTTTGCACTCGACAACAATGATGCGACCTTTGTGGTCTACAGTAACACCTCTAGGATAGCACAACGTATTTGCTCCAAACTTCCGTACAAACTGTCCATATTGATTGTATATTTGGATTTGGTGTGTAGGAGAGCGTTCAGTTACAATGATGTCTCCACTTGTGCGTACTACAGCCACACGGTTAGGATAGAGTAGCTGACCATCACGTTTGCCACATTCGCCAAACTGAAACTTGAAACGGCCTTCCTTATCAAAGATCTGAATCCTGTGGTTGTTAGTATCTGCAACAATTATGTCATTTTGGGCATTGACAGCCACACCACTAGGTTCAGTGAACTGACCTTCCAAAACACCAAATTCTCCAAACTTGCAGTGATAAATCATCTTTTGGCGTTTTATCTGTGAGCGAGGTGGGAAGATGGAGCACGAGAGCAGCTTGTGAGAGAGGTCATGAAGCACAGGATCTGGAGCACTCACACCATTCACCTGCTCATGGCTAAACATGCCTTCACCTCCACAACTCCATTTCTCATAGGAACTCAAACCATTCATGTTCATATCCCCCAAGCTAGTTGAAAATGGTCCCATGGACTGTGATGAGCTAAATCTCTTTGACAATAATGTAGAAAGCTGACTATTACTATATGGACGTTCAAGCATTCCATTTAGGTTACCATTCATGCTATTGTTCAATCCACTTGTGAGTCCATTAGTCAGCCCATTGGTCAAACCATTAGCCAATCCATTACTGAGACTAGTGGATAATCCTGAACTTAAACTAGTGGTCAGATTTGTTGAAATACCAGTGGTCATTTGGCCATTTGATACACTTTGGCTGGTAGTCATTTGTTGGGGCACTCCATTCAGGCCATTTGAGTATGTGTTTAGCCCAGATAATCCATTTAAACAACTGTTAATACTATTCATACTGTTCACAGAGTTGGACGAATTTGGTCTTGCTATTGGGGGCAGTTTGGAGGGTCCCACCTGGATATCTGAAGATGAGCGGATGTATCCAAATGTGTTCCTTACTCCTACTTGAATGGCAGGGAAGTTGCTTACAAACTCTAGGTCACTCACATTCTGCATTCCAAGATCAAAATTTTTTCCCATTTGCTCTGACAGCTTTCCTTCTATGAGCTTGCGAAACATTAGGACCTCTGTAGTATTGGCATATTTCCTCATCTTATCGACAAAGTCACAAGTTGATAGCAGCTTGTCCACACATTCTTGGGCCTTTTGAGCAAATACAGAGAGAGAGACCTGCTTGGCATGATACAAAGAATCAAGCTCACGTAATAGCTCAGTCTTACGTTCTTCCACCATAGTTGTGTAGAAGGTGAAAGTATCATGGATCTCTGACTGGGCCTTCTCGTATTGCTGCTGAAGACGTGTACAGGAGCCTTCAACTGACTTTACACACGTGCGCAGATCTGCAGCTCTGGATCTTCCACCTTCCATTGCATGGCAGATCTGATCTAGGTGACGGGGAGCAGCATCGTTTAGCACCTCATACTCGTGCAAACCCTTGGGGTGATCTAACACAGTACAATCAAGACAGATGGGTGCACTACACGTTACACAAAAGTACTTAAGGGGTTCCCCTTTATGCCGTAAGCAGGTCACGGGCCTTTCATCTCTTTGGGCAAGCTCAGCCAGTGTCACAACACGATGTCCTTCAAAACAATGCATGAACTGATGAGCCATAACACAATGGGGGCAGAGAAGCTTGGCACAGTCCAAGCAGCGGGCAACTGCAGCCACGTCTCGACTCTTGCAGGCAGTACAGGATGCAGGCTCATCCACTGGAGTCTCCAAGAGTCTATGTAGAGCGTAGTCTGGCAACAACAGTGGGGGTGGAGCAGTTGTTACAGCCTGGCACTGGGGACACACGAGTCTGTCTCCACCGTCACACACTTTTTCTAGGCACCCCAAGCAGAACACATGTAGGCAGGATAGCACACGAGGCAGCACGTATGTGTCATTACACAGTCCACATACTGTAGCAACAGGAGAGTTGCGTCCAACTGTGGAACCTGCAAGAGACAATACACATTAATTTTATACTGTACTATATCACAATACATAAAACAGCAGTAAAAAAATAAGAAGGCACATTAAAAACAAATCTTCTATTAAAAAATAGAGATTACATGTTTATTTCTGTATTTTAATACAAAAGTGCCAGATTTTTGTAAAGCCCATATATATGTTTAGCATATTGGACAAGAGGGATGAGGGAGAGTAGATGATGGGTAGGTAAGATGAAGTGGAGATATGCAATAAAAAGAGTCTTTTGTGGTAGAGAAATTATGCAAGTCAAATTAACATGGCAATGGACACGATAAGTATTGAACTGCATGATAAGGTGTTTGGTAGGTTATCTTTTAGTAGTTCTAGAGTTATCTTCCCCATTGTCCAGTCTCAGGCAAGGTCCAGTCAGTTTTGGACCAGAAGTGGCCTGAAAGACTTCAAAATGGTTAACCCTTTCAGGGTCTGTCCCGTAGATCTACGGCTTTGCGTTCAGTGTCCAAACCGTAGATCTACGTCATGAGCTCAGCTCACTCTGATAAACTGTGAGTGGTACACTTGGGCCTAGATATGAGAGAATACATCTATGTGGTATGTGTGCACCACATAAAACAAATCCTGCAGCACACTGTGTATAATGAGAGAAAAAAAAAAAACCAAGATTTTCGATTAAAACAGCAACTTTGCAGTGTTTTTTCGTATGTTTTTTATAGTTGTATTTGCAATTTCTTGGTCTCATTTGATAGAATGGAAGACATATTACAGAAATAGAGATGATTTTCATTGGTTTTAGCACTGGAAATGGCTTGAAACTGAGCTCAAAGTAGCGGAAATGTTAAATTTTTGTCGATGTTCAAGAGTAAACAAACGACCTCACACGTCTAATACACGCCAGCTGGTGGATCTAATACACATTCACAAATGTGGTGATGATATTTATACAATTACAATATTGCATAACAGTAAATCTTCTAATTTTTGGTGTGAATAAAAATTCATTATGTAAATAAAAAATAAAAATGGGATTTACTTGTAAAGCCTCAAAACGTAACTAATGAACCGAGGAAATGTTAGTTTAGTGCCAGGAATGCCTACATTGTTTATTCTGGATGCTATTTTGAAATTGGAATATTTTGAACTTGGTGTTAAATTGGCCAAATTACCAATTTCCGATCACTTTATTTTGTAGTTGAAACAGTTGACTTGGTGATTTCTTGTGCTCAATCGATAGAATAGAAGTAATACTAGTAAAATAGCTAAGAATTTGGTTGACTGGAATGATGTAATTGGCCTAAAATGGAAGTCAAAGTAGGCAAAATCGCCGATTCGTAAACATCGCTGACACATCAAAATTCGCGAGAGCATAATTTCGTCAGTTTTCCATCAAATTTCGTACTTTTTGTTTTATTACCTTCGCAAAAAGATTCTCTATCATTTCATAAGAAAAAATAACATTTTTTTTTTTTAAATTCTTGGACACTGGGGCACCACTTCAGTTTTGGGGGGCCTTGACCCTAAGGGGTTAAAAAGGTGTTTCGGAAATTTTCCTGGTTCTCTACCTCCCTTTCCCCCTCCCCTCCCCACAAGCTGTTTTAGGGGATTTTGCAGGGTCTTCAATTTTGGAGGGTCTAAACCAACCGAGCATTTTTTTTTTTTTTTTTTTTTTTTTTTTTTTTTATCACACCGGCCGATTCCACCAAGGCAGGTGCCCGAAAAAGAAAAACTTCCCATCTTTCACTCCATCACTGTCTTGCAAAGGGGGGCTTTAACAACTACAGTTTTTGAACTGCAACTTTAAACCCCTCCTTTCAAGTGCAGGCACTGTACTTCCCATCTCCAGGACTCAAGTCCCCCTGCCGGTTTCCCTGAATCCCTTCATAAATGTTACTGTGCTCACACTCCAACAGCACTCAAGTATTAAAAACCATTTGTCTCCATTCACTCCTATCAAACACGCTCACGCATGCCTGCTGGAAGTCCAAGCCCCTCGCACACAAACCTCCTTTACCCCCTCCCTCCAACCCTTCCTAGGCCGACCCCTACCCCGCCTTCCTTCCACTACAGACTGATACACTCTTGAAGTCATTCTGTTTCGCTCCATTCTCTCTACATGTCCGAACCACCTCAAAAACCCTTCCTCAGCCCTCTGGACAACAGTTTTGGTAATCCCGCACCTCCTCCTAACTTCCAAACTACGAATTCTCTGCATTATATTCACACCACACATTCCCTCAGACATGACATCTCCACTGCTCCAGCCTTCTCCTTGCTGCAACATTCATTCACCCACGCTTCACACCCATATAAGAGCGTTGGTAAAAACTATACTCTCATACATTCCCCTCTTTGCCTCCAAGGACAAAGTTCTTTGTCTCCACAGACTCCTAAGTGCACCACTCACTCTTTTTCCCTCATCAATTCTATGATTCACCTCATCTTTCATAGACCCATCCGCTGACACGTCCACTCCCAAATATCTGAATACGTTCACCTCCTCCATACTCTCTCCCTCCAATCTGATATTCAATCTTTCATCACCTAATCTTTTTGTTATCCTCATAACCTTACTCTTCCTGTATTCACCTTTAATTTTCTTCTTTTGCACACCCTACCAAATTCATCCACCAATCTCTGCAACTTCTCTTCAGAATCTCCCAAGAGCACAGTGTCATCAGCAAAGAGCAGCTGTGACAACTCCCACTTTGTGTGTGATTCTTTTATCTTTTAACTCCACGCCTCTTGCCAAGACCCTCGCATTTACTTCTCTTACAACCCCATCTATAAATATATTAAACAACCACGGTGACATCACACATCCTTGTCTAAGGCCTACTTTTACTGGGAAAAAATTTCCCTCTTTCCTACATACTCTAACTTGAGCCTCACTATCCTCGTAAAAACTCTTCACTGCTTTCAGTAACCTACCTCCTACACCATACACTTGCAACATCTGCCACATTGCCCCCCTATCCACCCTGTCATACGCCTTTTCCAAATCCATAAATGCCACAAAGAACCTCTTTAGCCTTATCTAAATAACTGTTCACTTATATGTTTCAACTGTAAACAACCTGGTCCACACACACCCCTACCTTTCCTAAAGCCTCCTTGTTCATCTGCTATCCTATTTCTCCGTCTTACTCTTAATTCTTTCAATTATAACTCTACCATACACTTTACCAGGTACACTCAACAGAACTTATCCCCCTATAATTTTTGCACTCTCTTTTATCCCCTTTGCCTTTATACAAAGAACTATGCATGCTCTCCTTTCCAATCCCTAGGTACCTTAACCCTCTTCCATACATTTATTAAATAATTGCACCAACCACTCCAAAACTATATCCCCACCTGCTTTTAACATTTCTATCTTTATCCCATCAATCCCGGCTGCCTTACCCCTCTTTATTTACTACTGCCACGAACTTCCCCCACATGCACAACTGCTCTTCTCACTCCTACAAGATGTTATTCCGTCTTGCCCTATACACAAATCACAGCTTCCTATCTCTCCAACATTAAAAATTCCTCAAAATATTCCTTCCATCTCCCAACCTCTAACTCTCCATTTAATAACTCTCCTCTCCTATTTTAACTGAGCAAATCCATTTGTTCTCTAGCTTTCTTAATTGTTAATCTCCTCCAAACTTTTTCTTATTTCAACAAATTGTTGATAACATCTCACCCACTCTCTCATTTGCTCTCTTTTACATTGCCCCAAACCACTCTCTATACTTGCTCTCTTTTTCTCCAAATACTCTTCCCTCCATTCATCACTTCACTTTGTGTAAAAACTTTCATACAACTTTTTCTCCCTACTACTCTTTAACATCAGCCATTCACCAACGCTCCTCTTCCCATGCACCCACTTTCCTGTAACCACAAACTTCTGCTGAACTCTAACAACTACATTTTTAAACCTCCCCCATACCTTCACCCATTGCCTATGCTCTCATTAGCCCATCTATCCTCCAATACTGTTTATATCTTACCCTAACTGCCTCCTCTTTTAGTTTATAAACCTTCACGTCTCATTTCCCTGATGCTTCTATTCTCCTTGATCCCACTACCTTTTACTCTCAAGTGTTACAACTGGAAGTTGATTGATATTCTGTGGCCCCTCTATAACAGTCTCCTGAGTCAAACTCACAGTCTTTATCTACCAAATGCATAACAAACACTGTCATTTCGCCCTACATCATATCGTGTATACTTATTATCCTCTTTTTCTTAAAATAGTATACTATAACTAAACCACTTCTATACAAAGTTCAATCAAAGGGCTCCATTGCATTTACATCTGGCAACCCTCAGATTACCTACCACAACCTCTCTAAAAGTTTCTCCTACATTTAGCATTCAAGTCCCCTACCACATTTACTCATCACTTGGTTCAAAGGCTCCTATACTTCACTTAAATTCTCCCAAAATCTCTCTCTCTCCTCTGCATTCCTCTCTTCTCCAGGTGCATACACGCTTATTATGACCCACTTCTCGCATCCAACCTTTACTTTAATCCACATAATTCTTGAATTTACACATTCATATTCTCTTTTCTCCTTCCATAACTGATCATTTAACATTACTGCTACCCCTTCCTTTTCTCTAACTCTCTCAGATACTCCAGATTTAATCCCATTTATTTCCCCCCACTGAAACTCTCCTACCCCCTTCAGCTTTTGTTTCGCTTAGGGCCAGGACAAACCAACTTCTTTTCATTCATAACATCAGCAATCATCTGTTTCTTGTCATCCGCACTACATCCACGCACATTTAAGCAACCCAGTTTTATAAAGTTTTTCTTCTTCTCTTTTTTAGTAAAATTTTATACAGGAGAAGGGGTTACTAGCCCATTGCTCCCGGCATTTTAGTCGCCTCATACGACACGCATGGCTTACGGGGGAAAGATTCTTTTCCACTTCCCCATGGACAATAGAAGAAATTAAAAAAGAACAAGAGCTATTTAGAAAAAGGAGAAAAACCTAGATGTATGTATATATATATA